TGAGAGGGCAGTTTGAAACTCACTTCCGGAAATTGTTAAATCCCCCCGAATGACCTCTAGCTGGTTCGAGAAATGACGGCTTCTTTGAAACGGATCCTGCACCAGCTTTGTGACTTCTTCATAACAATTTTCGCGTATGTCATCCCTTCTGCCGCCAGCCGCAGCTTAGGAGCATTCCTGGAAACTCTTCATGGAAGAAACTCGGAATCCATGTTTTAAGTTCGTGGTTCGTGGCCAAGTAGCGGATGAAGTGAAAGGCCTGTCCACCCTGGTCACTATCTTCCTGAGAGTCTTAATTATCGTTCCACTACCGGATCATTTTTATTGGGGGTAATCTGACTCAGTGGAGTTTGCGCGGTATTTGGTTGGTACGCGGAATCACTCCCATTGAACTGATGCCAAATGGCTACTCGATCAGATAAGATATATCTTCATCCAGAAGGCATCTTAACCGCCAAACCTAATTCTCGGTAGGAGTCAGGCAAAGTGGCAGCTGAAGGACAGTTGCTCAAAGATTGCTTGCAGAACAATTCGTCAGGCGGAGCCGAGCTTCGACGTTAAAACTGCCGGGCAAGGACTAGGTCAAGGTGGCGAAATGTGGGTCAACAGCGCATCAAAAAAGAATGCGGGAATGGTGTCAGCGAGGACAATCTATGTGTGTCGGATCAGTTATAAATACAAGGGAATTCCACAGCCTCGACTGAGTTTCCGATCAACCCAGAAACTGGGCCAACCTCCTATCGAGATCTCAATATCGGAGAGGCCCAGCTCCGGCCAAGTCTTTGTAAGTGTGGCTATAAACGGTCGTTTTGAACAAACAGATTGCTGACCCTAGGTTTTTCAATTAATGACGAGTTCTATATAACAGCAACCAAAGTGAACCGCAATTATCGCTGACCTCAGCTGTATAACAAAAAGGCTCCGTCATGGACCAATAACCAAGTTTTGTTCCACAGCGCTAGCTGAAACCAACACTGGGCTAATGAAAATTGACGCGATTGTGTACACTTTGTCTTCAAACAAATAAAAGATGAGAAAATTTCTCTGACAATTTATTTTTCGAACTCCGATTACCAAACTCCAACTCCGAAGTGGCTGAAAGTCATCGTAGATCGCCAGCCGCAACCCTCCCAGAAAAACTAGCTGGTTATTTGAAGTTGAGGCAGCCCATCAACACGAGCTAGGTTGCTCCAGTGTCACATTCTGGAATTAATACTAGCATGTATCTTGACGCCGACAACATACTGCCTGAAGCCAGCTATCCTGAATCACCTCACTTCCAGCAATCTGATATCTCCAGCTCAACAGGGATTTCTCCAAAACCGTTCTTGTGTGACAAACATGCTCGTATTTATGGACAGCTTAACCCAAAACAAGGACGAGGGACTCATATCGGATGCCAATTTTGGACTTCCCAAAGGCGCATGAAAGGGTCCCACACGTCCCGCTGCTCCACAAACTCGAGTCTTACGGGATTCAAGTGGGAGTCCTTCGCTGGTTCAAGGCGTTCCTATGAGACCGATCACTCCGAGTGAGAATAGGTTCAACCTACTCTTCTCCAGCGCCGGTCTCCATTGGAGTTCCTCAAGACTCCGTCCTGGGACCAGTGCCGTTTTGAATCTACGTCAACGTTCTTCAGATGTTCTTGCAAGCCCGTGCCTACTTTTTGCGGACGACTTGAAACCTTGGAGTTCCAAAGCCAGTGCCCTCCAAATGGATGTAAACTCTGCAAAGCAGTGGTCATTGAACTGAAACCTTATTCTGGATATCGAAAAGTGCGTCCATATGTCGATTGGAGGAGACTCAGATAATGCTTTTGTTATACATGGTGAGAAAGGACCAGAAACATCATGAGGATAGATGCCAAAAAGGATTAGGGTATCTGGGTCTCCTCAAGCTTGTCCCTCTCACTGCCTCATGAGAAATCGGCCCAAAAGGCATTCGCCAATTTAACGGATGATCCGAAGTACCGTCTCGCGCAATACTGGCATGGACTTCCAAATGATCTATGGGGCCTGCGTCACACCGCTCCTGGAGTACGCCAACCAAGTTATCTACTCAGGACGCAGAAAAGAGCCTCATTGAGCGTGTCCAGCGGGCCGCTACGAGATTGGTTGCCGATTTCAAATTCGTGAACTACGAAACGCGCTACGAGATGATTGATCTCTTTCCCCTGGAATATCGTCGCCACGCCAACCAATCTACTCAGGACGCAGAAAAGAGCCTCATTGAGCGTGTCCAGCGGGCCGCTACGAGATTGGTTGCCGATTTCAAATTCGTTCGTTACGAAACGCGCTACGAGATGATTGATCTCTTTCCCCTGGAATATCGTCGCCTCCGAGGGACCTAATTATTACTTAAGCACGGGTTCAACAAAGCTTGGCCAACAGGCATTTTACCGTTTCACGGATTCACGGATTGATACACAGGATCGAGGCTTGAGCCCAAGTTTCTCGGGACGGTTTTGTTCTTGTCGGTCAGTGGCTGTCGTCCACCTGAAAGGCACAAGTGAAAAAAGGGTGTAGCACTGCTCTTT